CACTTCAGGGGGTGAGCATACTTTGCTGACACAGAGGCTTCAGCCAAGACGGTGTCTATAATTCACTGGTCTGGAATTATGTGTCACAGAGTCGTGAGAGCACGGATTTTAATTTCAAACAAACACCTGCTGATATTCACGTATTTAATGAAGTGGCTACAAGGTCCAGTAGGAATTAAAACCTTCATATTCTTGGGCCTCATAATATATTCTTCACCAATTGTTTGACACACAGCTTCAACACTGACATAAAAAAAAAAAAAAAAATCCACACTAACAACTTCCAAGCCAGTGATCTGCTTGCTTTCAGATCATCGTCATATTTCGAATAGCTGGTCACTGAACTGACAGTGAGGTAGTAAAAGAACGCTATTATTACAATCTGCAGCAACTTCATATCATATCAAGCTTTAAATCAAGCCTGAGCAAGACTGGGGGGCATTAGAGAAAACCAGAAGCAAGAAGAGGCAAAACAAAGAGAACAGATAAAGAATTTATTTCCAATATCCATCGCAAAGAATAAGAGGTGACACAGCTTTAAACAGATAATATAGAATTTATTTTCAACCAGAAGTAGGAAAATACATAGGTAGGTGTAAAGGAAACAAGCTGAACCTGTAGTCAAACAGAAAAAAATAATCAAAGAACAAAACTAGTCCAAAGAGAATCGAAAGAACAGCTAAAGGGGTACAACAGAAAGCATTGTTTACCATTCAGTTTCTTTTTAGAACAGTATGTGTTGATTTGAAAACAGCTGCCTTGATTCCTCATCTGGGTTAATGGACATTCTACAACATTGTGCAAGTGTTTTGTTATTATTCTTTTTTTCCTGCTGGTATTTCATGAATGGTAAACAATAGTTGGTCCAGTGCAAAAACACAGTGACACAGATCAATATATGTATTCAGCTGACTACAGATAGACAATCCTGATCATTGAACAACTACCACTAGATCAGCAGGGAGAAGGAGATATGCAAATATACAGGATGGGTGATAAAAGGGAAAGAAAGCTCATAAAGGTTTTCAGGTAACAAAATGGTCCAAAAAGTTGAAGACGGAGAGTTAAAAAGAAAAACAAGAGAAAGAGAGACCACAGTTTTAAAGATGAAAGCTACATTTTCCAGATAAAATATTTAAAAACCCATTTTGAATGTTTCTCAATGTTTCCGGGTATTATTGCCAGGTTTTTGGAAAAAGATTAAAATGGGTTGAGAAACCAAACTACCAACAGTACAAAGTATGAATATCAATGTGCATTGTGATTCAAGGAAAAGGACAAAAGTACCTTACTTTCCTTACAGCCCTACATTTCATTAAGACTATGATTTGGATTTTAAAACACGACGCACCTGGTGGTGGGTGAAAGAATCAGCTCCTAAAAATAAAACAAAGCAGAACTACAAGCAGCTTTGGTGTGCACCATTACAAAGAGATGTAATCTTTAAATCACTCGATGCCCAACAAGCCAACTATGAGACAATGCAACAGTGGAAAAGTACACAGCCAACAATCATTCGCTGAAACTTACAGAGCAACATAACTCATCCCTGTGATTGGCCAGATTTTCTCTCAGAATCCACAGTCTAACAAGAGGGTGATGGCGAGAGGACGGGGAGTAAACAACCAAAGAGTCAAATCAGTGACCACCGATAGTAGCTAGCTAGGATAACAGATTTAAACCACTGTGATGCACAAGAACAGAGTGAAACGGACTAGTAGTACTCAGTAATCATCAGAGGACCAGTCTAGTGACCAGCGGCACATCATTAGCTTACAAACACGTTTTACACCATTCAGAACAGTGTTCTCTAGTACTGAACTGCAGCCACTAGTAAGACAGCTCTGCTGCCCTAACCTACAGGCACCAGCACTCGCCAGCTAGTGCCACAAAGCATCCAACATAAAGCTGAAAAGTAAAAAAAAAAAAAAAAAAAGGAGGAAGAAGAATATCCCTGTGCTGAGCGTTTGAACTGATACCAAAGCTGCAGGTGCTTCTCAATCCTTCATTCTACGAGGCAGCACCAGGAACACTCAACTTCTTTAAATTAACGCATCAAAGACAAATGTCTCATCATGACTTCTACAGAGGATTTGGTTTGTGATGGAATAAGAGTAAAGGGGGGGTGAATTCAGTGAAAGTAAAAACAATGTAGCAAAACATAACACCATCATAGAATTCATGATTTACACAACACAATTCAATATCTTTTTAGAAAGGAAACATGAGATACATCTTTTATTCACACTTTACAAAAAAGCTAGCCTTTATATCTACTACAGCACTAATGCCATTCAGGAAAAGAAAATCAAACTGAACACATTGGTTTCCATGGGAAAACAAGACGTTAAAAAAAGATGCAAGGGCAAAAACAAAGACAAGAAAACTTGATCTGAGGACTAAATTTATGCTTCCTATTAACTTGCTTCCCTCTTGCTTTAAAAACATCATTTCAACATATACATTAAAGTAATGAGCTCTCGGCTCACTAATATAATGGGACAGGGAACGAAGGGAGCTGCATTAGAATCTACTAAGTGCTCGTCGTCCGTTGTATCTGTGTAAAAGCATGACTGTGACAAGTAACCATCTCACCATCGACAGATTTCTCTTGTCGCTCTTGGGTGTAACAAATCTGATTCATAGCAATGTGCTTGCTTGGCCTTCGGAAAGACATGGCTGCCCCTCCTCAATCCGTGGTCATCAAAGGGCAGAACAGTGGGCCTTCCACTTTCCCCAGTGCAGAGGGTCCACAGATGGCACTATAGCTGCAGTGACGAGGGTAAAAGAACTATACAAAGTGGTTGAGCAGAGGGGTTAAAAAAAAAAAAAAAAAAAAAAAGACAGCTTGAGCAATATAGTGGGTAGGTAAAGTCTGAGGTTGGGTGGTTGAGGCTTAGGGAATTTTAAAATTCATGGCCAGGAATGAGCTTGGCTCTAGGTATTTGGGGGATTTGGGCGTGGAGCTGTGCTGAGGTACGAGGGAGCAAAGCAATTTGGGAGAGTGGATCTGATAAAGATGAGACATCCTACTCCTGCTCCACAAGGAGAGGAAGAAGGATGGGTGAAGAAAGCATACCTGGTTACTACTAGAGAGCTCAATGACTAGGAAGGATATACACATCATCATAACATTGTCACAGCTCATAAAAAAGGAAATCAACATTAACAAAACCCAAAAAAAGGACATAAAATCTTCACAAATGTCTCAACAGTATTTAAAAATAAAAGCAGAAAAGGTTGTTCAGGCGTTCATCAAATGTAAATAGTGCAAGACAACAACAACTGCTACAGTGAGGCACGATGTTTTGTTGTACATGTGGGATTCATATAGTCTGTACCAGTCACACGTCACTAGTGAGTGTGGGAGATGAACAGACGGGGTCACTGCTGGGCTGTGACTCGTTCTGGTGTCTCCTTTTGTCTGATCTGATGGCAGCAGTGTAGATCAATGGCTTTGTTAATGGGCAAGAAGCAACAGGCAGAGTTTACTAGGTGTCTCTTTACAACCGCAGCAATATGCTGGCAAATCAAATCAATGGCAGAGAGAGACAGGGCTGAGAAAAGAAAACAATACTGTTACAGTTAATCTCTAGGGAGTGCAAAGAAGTTACAGTGAACGCCTTGAACAACCTCTTCGTACGTCTTTTGTACAAGCTGGTAATATCAATTCTTAACATTAACTGGATAAAAATTTAGCCATAGTTTACAATACAATCTTTTTTTTTCAAATCTGATCATAATTTACTCTTAGTACAAAAAACGCCAGAAAACAGGTCTTTTGTGGTTCATATACAATCATGTAAAGACTGAGTCTGGTTTTCTATTCTGTACAAACACTTGTGAAAAAAACCACTGCTTTCATTTATGGAATTTATGTCTGGGGAAAGTCACTACTGGCCTCAGAGACAGTGCTACAGATCTGCCTTCAAACTACCTGTATATGTGTGTAAGCTTGCATGTGTGGAGCTGGATGGCAACTCCGGACAGTGAGAGGAATGCTGGTTTTACTCCTGTGTATCAGCCATTACTTTCTCTCTCTGCCTGAAAGCAATCAAAGAGGAAAAAAAAATAAAAGAGGTGATAGCCCCCTCATCGCTTTGCCCATCAGCCCAAATCCACTTACCACAAAAAGGGTGATACATGAGCCACACAAGCTCCTAAGCATAAGACTATCCTAACAACTATACAAGCTGCGGTGAAACCGTCTGCAAACAGGATGGTAGCTGCTCTCAGTTTCTCACAACATCCTTCCTCGCTCGCTTAGAACAACATACTGCCCATGAGAAATCAGGCACCTTTAGTTCTCAAACATTTGGTTCTTGAGGCATCTGTGTGTTTGGTAGCTAACGCACCAGGGCCAGGGCCGGAGGTGTAGACTATCTTGTAGCACCACAGGAGGCCGTGAACACACAAAAGGCCTCAGCACCACAGAATGACAGCAGGAAATCTCACCTCATACAAGATGCGCTACATCCTACCTCCAGGGATGCACAACTACCAGCTGCCCTAACATCTGATTCAACAAATATCCTAGAAAGACTGAGAAAGTACACCGGCTTCCCAGAGTACAAGTACAAGCCAATAATGGAGGTCTGAGACTGACAAGTCTGCCGTCTTTGCTGGTTTCAGATTTATACAGGACAGACAGACTAGCAGACCCATCAGCTATGGAACTTTTCATGTGGATGTTGTCCCCCCAGCCAGATCTAACATTCCCCGTTCTCTAAAACCAAACAGTGCCCCATGTGACAAATATGAATGAGCTACCATCCCCTCTGGTTTGAAAGACAGAAGCAAAGTGGGTAGGTGGGTGGATTTTGAGGAGCAAAGGGAGTTCAAAATACATAATATGGGTCACTAGCAGGACTGAATCAAGCAGTTAAAAAAGAACAAAAAAGAAATACAGAAAAAGCAAAAAGAAAAATATAGAGTATCTATAATGTTATACGAAATCCCTGTTGGCCAGACCTCACTGTACGAATATTTTACAGGTTGTGTTTTTTTTTTGTCCTCCTCTGGTGTGGTGGAGCAAAGAGCTGGTAGTGGGAGGAAGGAAGGAAAGTTGCAAAGGAGAGCCTGTGGTTGCAGCTCCCTCTGGTGGTGTGGCGGGGACTCACTACCTGCGTGCAGGCAGGTGGAGCCCATTGACCTGGGGGGGCACATTAGGCAGGAGCAGCTCCAGCTGGGCGAAGAGGGAGAAGTGGTCGGAGGGGATGTGGGGATGTGGACAGCCGCTGACATTGTTTTCTACGAGCCAGTGATGGTCCAGGGGGCCCAAGATACCCAGCACGTTCAGGTGAGGCTTGGAGTAGAAAATATAGTCGATGACACCCTGAAGGGAAAAGAGGAAGAATCTTAACCACACTTTGGACATTTCTATGTTATTGTAAGTCTATATATTGTTGAACACACTTAAGGTGCCTCTCTCTACAAGAGCACAACAAAACATTAACTATAATCATGATGCCATACAGATAGGAGAAGCTAAAGGAAAAACCAACATAAAGTGTCTTAATAAGGTGCTAGACAACCATGTGCTACCAGAAGACCCTTGGGGCTCCTTGACATTGACTCTACAAGTCTCTGAATTCTACTGGATTCTTCCAAAAGATATTCCCTCATTTGTGTTTTGAAGATGGTGGTGGAAACGCTAACACATTGGTCCAGAATCCTCCATAACTGTTCAACTGGGTTTAGATCTGGTGACTGTGAAAGTCACAGCATATGATTCACATCATTTTCATACTCAAACCATTCAGTGACCCCCTCGTGTCCAATGGATGGGGGCACTGTCATCCTGGAAGGAGACCACTCATTTGAGTGTTTTCTTTAATTTGTCACCCGTCTGTATCAGTGTGTTCTATCGGTGCAATTACCTTGAAGTCGTAGGTGTAGTTGGTGTAAGGCATCAGGCCGTTCTCGTAGGCGCTCTTCAGTTTGAAGCCGTGTGTGATCCTGCCATTGGACGTACTGTTCTTGCCGTTGCAGTTGAATTTGGTCAGGCTGTCGCTATAACGAAGCTCCTTGAAGTCCTTGTGGGTGCAGTCCACTCCGCCAGTACTCAGGTACTCCACTACACCTAAACGCAGGGGAGAGAGGAGTCGTCATCTTCATCAGAATTAAGAAGAGTCGACTGGCACCTTCCAAGGTCCCAAAAGACCAAGTCAAGTCCATTCCTAAGGTGGACATTTTGGATACTCAAAAGTTACAAGCAGTATTAGCTCTAACGGTTATTCAGTCACCCATAAAACACATGCCATGGCACTGTTTGTGTACAGAAACAGTTTTGTGTGTGCGCTTTACCTTCCTGGCACATTTGGGCACAAACACCAAAATAAATCAGCATATTAACCATCAAGTCCTGTCTTGTGTCACCTTGTGGGCTAAAATGAAAGATAAATCAAAGCAGGAAGGCTTGAATACCTTCCCAGACAACTTTATCTTCACCTGCTGTACTTAGCACAGCTGACATGAACAGAAAACAAGCGCACAACGATGAAACGAGAGCAAATCACACAATTGCAATTTCCTGGTTTTCTGCATAAATCGGTCATGAAATGTGATCTGATCTTCATCAAAGCCACAAATATAAACAATCAATGTTTCTAGGCTGATAAAACAGAAATAGTCATGATCTTTCATGTCTTTATTGAACACACCCATTAAACATAGAAAGTGTTGGTGGAAAAAGTAACAGCAACACAAGGAGTCCAATCAATGATACCAAAACGGACGTGAGGTTCAGAACGTGTGGTTCAGAACTACCTTGACTTATAAAAACACTCAAACTCAAAATTGCAAACAGTGCCATTATATTTTCTTGCAACTGTGTATTAATTATTTTGCACATTTTTTCTCTATTGAGTGAGTGTTTGGCTTATGAAATTCTCCAGGACCCAAACATTCAGTACCAGTTTTATTTTTGCATTTTAAAGTGTAAAACTTTCATATCAAATTCTTGGACTAATTTAATTTTGGCCCATCAACTGATTTCTTGTTTCAGCTCTAAATAAAGAATTCAATAAAGTAAACAAATAGAGCTATACATACCATCCAATTTTTCTAAAAAAACAAAAACAAACAAAAAACTCCCCCCAGTAATTTCAGGCCAGTTATTTGGGTTATTCATATTCCTTTTTTTAAATTATCACTGACAATCATGCAGCACATAGAACTGCTCATACAGAGAGGGATGGGATTTAGTTTTGCTCAAAGGGCACCTCACCATTGTCAGGAAATACGTGGAACAAATATGCATTAACACTGTAGTACCTTCAATTCACGTACATTTTTTTTTTTTTAATACAAACTCTCTGTGGTCTGATACAGTACAGCTCTATTCGTCTTTCTTACTTACCAGAATCAGGCAAGGAGTTGAGGTCAGCACAGAGCACCAGTGGAATGGCATTGGTCTCACCAGAGACAGAGGACAACTTGAGGCTGCGTGTGGCCTTGTCCACTATGTTTTTCACCTCTGACAGAAACATCATGGTCTGGACCAGCTTGACATCAGAGTACTCTGGGTCCCAGTGCATGTGGGCATTGGCTACCAGGAGCAGCTGCTTCTCCATGCCATGGAGTGACTTTCCAGCTGAAGGAAAATAAAAGGCAAGGGGGGAGAAGAGGCACAAAGACAAATTAAACATGCTGTCATAACAGCAGTTATTTATACACCATGGGTATCTGCAACATCACCTACAATACCTTGTACTATTAACGGTGCATTTACACACTGTTGCACCAGTGACAGCTGCCATTTACTGCAAATGAGACATGGCTTTGCTTCCATGCACCCCACGCAGAGCTTGACAGATTCAAAAGCACCCAGCTAAACTACAGGGGAAAGTTGAGAAAAGATGAACTCTATGCTAATATCCTCTAAAGAGGTGCGAGTGACAGCAAGAGGGGAGCCAATTATGACTCCAACAGAAACCAAAGCACAGAATTGTTCCCTACTCCACAACACTATTTGAAACAAAATGGAGGAAAATCTGTCATGGACTCTGGTTTCCCAGTTCCCTATGGCGTCTTGAACGTGTTACCAGGTCATAAAACAAACAATGTGTAGAAACAAAGCACCGACATGTGTAGTGCAGCAGATACACTGGAAAACAACTACCCAGTCAGAACAGCTACTTTGTGTGACTGCACCGTTATTCCATCTTAGTGAGTTTCAGACGAGCATCAACTCTGGATTTCAAGGACCAGCTGGTCTTGAAGAAGAAAAAAAAAAAAAAGGCAGAAAATCTAGTGATACCGGACACCCTAAAAAGAAGTCCCAGATAAGGGATCGTGCTGTGCACTCACAGGAGACCTCCATCATCTCTTTGCGGACCTCCAGCAGTACAGCTACGCCGATGTTGTCCTTAGTCATCACTCTGTTCAGCATTGCCTCTGAACCCTCGGAGTTAGCCATGGCCAGCTGGTTGAACTCCACCGTGTGCTTCTGCACCGCGCTGAACCTGGAGGTGAACAGTGGGAGACGAGAAATATAACTTCTGTAAGCAGTGGTATGAACAAATGAATAACAAGAAACCCATCATTTATTGAATTTACAGTATGAACTATATTTAAGGTGGTGCAACCTACAACGACAAAAACATTGTTGCGTCTCATAATGGCTCAGGTGTGATATTTTTCTTTATTCGACCCAAATGGCTTATTGTTTTACAGCACATGTAATTATTCTCCTAAAGTACAAAGATAGTTCCCCAGACCGGATCACATAAAATTAAAATGTATTGGAGCAAACAGCACATCATGCAGCAAGGACTGAAAGGCAACACAGGAAAAGTAGGAAACAAGCAAAACTTTTTAATTAGCCCTAAAAATGGGAAACATTTATGACTAGAACATGAATGACAAAATGGCAGACAAATTGAGAAAGACTTAAAATTTCAGTGTAAACTTGCTTTTATGAGTGAGTGAAAAATTACAAGGCTGATGGTGTCAAATGGTGATTTATCTGCTTCAGCCAAACACAGGGCTCAGTACTAGATGAAGCTTCACAATTAGGAAAAAAACAATGATTAAAGGTTGAAGTGTAGGTCTATGGGAGATAGGCAGGCATCTGTTGGTAACTTGCTTAATTTGAGCATATATTTTCTCTCAGAACTAAAGTTTCTAAATGAACTTTTACTCCACAGACTTAGCACTGCACTCTCAGATCTGGCAAACAGACTTTAGAGAGTAAAACCATTTGAATTTCCCTTTAAGGTAAATCAATATTGGCCAATTTATTGCTTGACAACAGATTTTCAGTAAAAATAAACATTTCAAGACAAAAATATCACCTTTTATCGTTAAACACAACCTGTCACCTTTAACAAACTTCAACATGTATGAAAAACATCCCACCAATGTTGTGGTCTGATGTGTGCAGGATTTTCAAAGTACCTGTAGCACACTCAAAAGCACGAGACCCTTCAGCTAATTTCATATACGGCAAATGTACAATGTTTTTTCAACTTTTGGGTAAAGGATTCTGTGGTCAAACCTATGTGCTATACTGTATATGTATAGTGTTGTGAGTCAAATTTAAAGATTGCTGTTAATGTCAACCCTTAGGATACACTCTAAGAACATCCCATTCATCTAGCCTGTGGCTTCCACTACGAGTACAGATGGTTTGTAGTTTCACAATTTGTGAAACTATATTCAAGCGTGAAAGCACAGTAACCATTACAGCGGCTTGACACAAATGCTTGAACAAGATGAGTACAATCAATGTTGATCATTGCCTGCTGGCAGGAGTAAAAACCTGAAGGACCTTTTCATTTCCAGGGTAATCAAACTGGTTAGGTGGGTCCCTGCTGGTGGTAGCGTCACCCAGCTGATACAGCACTCAACAAAAAAACACCACACTATCAACACAGAGCAACAGAGTAAAAATAAAAAGCATAGGTTATGGTTTCCCCATGTTGCAGACTGGACCTGAGGTGAAAGTCTATGATGTGTAAGATATGCAATTTCTTTGTCACAGATACTGGATCTGTACAATGGAAGAAAAGTGAATGTGGTGGAGCAGGTGTGAACTGACCAGAGTTGGTGGAGGGAGAGAGATGCAAGAGGGACAATGGCCACAGAACGGACCCGGCAGCTGCTGCTGCACTGGACCGGACCGATCGCCACAGTTAGCTCTTTGCTGCTAGCCTAACGAGCTCACAGACTGTGGACATAGGTTAAATTTGCACTTCTCTGCACGTTTAGCAGGTATTTCATTAAATTACTCACACTGGCTTTTTACTCAGAAAAGTTTTATCATATGAACATTAACAAGCAAACGGCTCGTCTCCACTGCTGCCAGAGGAGCAGTCTGCTCTCTCTGTGTGTGTGTGTGTGTGTGTGTGTGGGACATGAGCACTGCCCACTCTCATTCAAACACCAACACAAAGGAGAAGCGGCTCCATAAACACCACAAACATATTTTCCATCCACTACTCTCACTTAGGGGTCTTTGATTAGCACCAGTTCTCCTGTTTGATCGTGAGTTACTACACCTATTAACACATCCATGAGACCAGGCAGCACATTTCTGCAATTGCGCACGGTTTCAGTGTGTCCACCCGATGCCGCCAGTGTTTCAAAGCAGAGAATACTCCTTATTTTTTTCATGCCATTGAAAGCTGTTTTTATATTCAAATTTGTCTGGGTGATTAATAACATCTTCCTGTGGTGTGACAAACTCAGAACACATTTATTTCTGCTTTAAGAGTTACAAGCCAGTGAATTTTGTTATTTACACTAAAGTGTTATGCATGTTTAACCATTTATAGTAACATAGTTCTAAGCCCTATTACAGCTAGTCACAGGACAATAAAGACAAAAGTGTAGTTACATACTTTTCCGTTTTGTAGAAAATTGCACATCCATCCACATGTTTACGGTCCGACTCCGACATAGTCCTGGCTCGCGACTTCGGACTGAAGAACCCGTCGTATCCCTGCTCCTTCAGCTCAAGCAAGAAGAAATTGTAGTACTGCTCTGTCTCAACTTCCTGTGGTCAACACAAAAACATATCAGGATGGCGCACAGGAAAAGGCCAACAGTCTGGCAAACAAACGCTCTCATCCAAAGAAGGGCAAAACTATCATTTTAGATTAATACAATACGAGAAAGACTAAGAGAGTGTGTATGGAACGCTTTAATTCATCACATCTTTGCACATGTTCCAACAAATAAAAAAGTTTCACTGTTCAAAAAGAGGACAGAAACAAAATATTACCAGAGACATTTCACACATTTAGATATTTTAACATAATTTAGTTATTTAAGATTTTCCGAGCCATTTTCTTATGAAGAAAAAAAGACTTCACATACAAAAGCACATTAAAACAAATAAAGGAACACAGACAAACCAAAAATGACAGCACCCTCTTACCAAACACCTCCACACATCACAAAGTAATCAAATTCTACAAAGACTATAATACTCACTTTCTAATATGAGGTACAAATCATTCTGACCTAGGCCAGGAAAACAAGGGAAAGGCCAAGCATCGGTGTGCAGTGTGAACACTGAGCACAGTGTTGCACAAAGGGAGCCTTCAATGCAGGCTTGCTAGACTGCATAACAATTTACAAGGTGTTGCTTTTATTGTGTCAGCTTGATGTGCGGCCAAAACATCTTGCTGCCACTAGCCAAACCTGAATTTCCTTATCTTGTCAGATCTGCACTGATGTACAGAATAAATGTTTGATTTATGAGAGAACCGAGCAGATAATTTGATGTCCATGTGTCACCTGCAAGCTGATGATGTCTGCGTTGCAGCCTAGGATCTCCTGCATGATGGATTTCTTCCTGTACTCCCAGTTTAGAGCCCATGAGGGACAGTAGCCATATAGCTGTCGTGTGGCGTACTTATCACACAGCACATTGTAGCACATCACTGAGAACAGTGCTAAAGGGAGAAACAAACAAGGCATAGTTAAGAAAAGCTGAAGAAGCTAATGATTTTGGTTCACTTATATAATTTAAGATGGGGTATGGATGCTTCCACACTTGTTTAATCAGATGACCAAAACACAATATTGCTGTGTGCATGGAAAACATTTGTTATATGCAATATTTTGTAAATAGGGTAACCTCTAGAGCACTTCAGCTCAGGGTAGCGAGTACTGTGTTCCCTATAAACAGAATTTGGGCAACACATCCAAACAGATTAGCTATCATCCATCATAATAGAAAAAAAGTTTTTACAACTTCTTTCAAAATTTCACAGTACGGTCCACAGCACAAGTGAAATACAGACTGAAAGCTGCACCACAAAGGTGTAATCAGAAACAGCAATGAGTCAGTTATGACTACCCCCAACAAGGTTACACAACATGAGTAAGTACTCAACCCAAGGGAAACAACAGAGTACCGTCCATATTTTTATGATATCTACTGCTCTTTTTTGCAAGTCATTTTTACTCATGTCCAACCAAAGGAAATCTGCACATTCTACACTGCAAGTGTGAAATACTGGATCTAGGCATAGGCAATAAAATAGTAAAGATAATTATTGCAAAATAACTTTTCCTCAATAGAAATATAAGACAATTGATACAACGCCGACAGAACTCATTCCATCCATGTTTTGACAGAAAACACGAACAGCCAATGGTGATGAGAATAATGCCACGGCGAACCAACCATGTGGCTGGAACCGTGTTACAGCTACGTCAGGTTAGGCTGACACACACAGCACAGAGCGCAGGAGTTAGCAGCCGGCAGCAGCACACGTGCTGATGTTTGGACTACTGCAGCCATGCACGCTGGTACATCAGGAGCGGGAGCGAGATAAAAGAGAAAATGTCACCAGAAAAAATTTAAAACTTGAGTGACAGCGTTACCGAAGAAGATCAAATCAAATCAAATAAAATTTTATTTGTATAGCGCCAAATCACAACAAAAGTCATCTCAGGACACTTTACAAAGTAAGGTCTAGACCTTACTGTTATCACTATTACTACAGAGGGAAAACCCAACAAATCCCCCTTGAGCAAGCACTTGGTGACAGTGGGGAGGAAAAACTCCCTTTAACGGAATAAACCTCCGACTGTCCCCGGCTCTTGGTGGGCGGCCTTCTGCCTCGACCGGTTGGGGTGAGTGGCTAGAGGAGAGACAAAAGAAGTAAAGCAACAAGACACAACAAACAATAAAACACTGGGCAGGTTGATGTGGCCGGGGACTGCTCCTCAGAGACGTAGAGGTCCCGAGCTTA